GCTTGCATATCACGGGAGAGCGAAGGGATTGAATACTGGCCTTCGCGGAACACGTTGTAAATCCTTCGACAGCCGACGAGCCCGTTAATAATTGAAATGGGAAAACTGGCGAATGCCATCGAAAAATCGAACCAAGGAAACGAAGCGAGCACCGGGGAGCAGGAACCGATAGAATAATCTAAGAGGTGATTTAACGAGAGAAGAACGTACTTTCGGAACGTAACGAACAACAGCATCGAGAGAAATTTAAATTTTAAGGAAGAAATTGGATAGGATGATTTGATTAAATGCAGTTTCGATCGAATACAAACGCAATTTCCGAAACGATTTTAAAAAGAAGAAAAATTCCAAGCATCGAACGACGCGAGAAAAACCCACTCGAAAGATCACAGCCGATCGAGTGGAAGAAATCATCCCTTCGTATCGCGAGTACACTCGAATCATCGAACAATATTTGCATTCTTCGCATCCGTCTTATCCTCGAAATCCATTCATCCCTCTTATTTCACCTTTCCCTCCAATATTTCCCTCTTTTCCTGTTCCGCAAAAATTTACCATTTTTCCACTAGCCATGGCCAAACTTGAAACGTTCCAGTGATAACCATTTCGGAAGGAGGAAACGATTTCAATAACGTTTCGCGCGATAATCGGACGACGATCTGAAGTTGAAGTCCTTGGCAAGATTTCTTTCACGACGCGCCATCCACGATGACACGGGGGTTGGCGAGGATGAAATTAAGGAAATTGGGATACGTGACGCGTACCGATCAAATCGTTCTTCTCGATCATTCCTCGCCTACGAGATCTCCAATTTCTTTATTCCGATTTTATTTCGCTGATCGAGCCACGTGTTAAGCCCAAGATACATCTGTTTAAAACGTGCATCGAACATTTGTATGCGCGATCACGTATCAAGTTTTCCGCGAGCGTCGATTTATCCTCCGCTAATCATACACGTACACATTACGTTTTCCGCATTTTTCGATTCCACGTCGAATCTTCCTCGTTAATTCGCTGATTAAGCTCGCAATCGCGTATTTATTTTCGATTCGAGTGATTTCGAAAAACACGTCAACGTTCGATCGTTCGTCGCCAAGCTTTGCGACTGTTTGCACGAATTCCGATTCGTGAATTCGCTTTTTCAAAACGTACTCCAATTAACGAGAATATTTGATCGATTCGTAAATTTTCGATAATATCGAAAGATTAAAGATTAAAATTATCGATATTATTATTAAAAGTCTCGTTTTTTTTTTTTT